CTTGTAAATATTGTCGGCCGAAATCGAGATTCGAACCCAGGACCTCTGGCTTACGAGCCTCGCATTACGAGCCTTCGCAGCCACAACGCGCACAATTGATTAATTGATGAATTAAAAAACTCGCCTCTATCAAAATATAATATCAAAATAATAAATTCTCTAAATTATAACGTTGCAGTTGAAAACATACATATACATATAAAAAAATATAATAGCATTGAGAACAAACCTGTACATCAAACCTGTACTACTATAAACCCATTTTGTAATTTTATATGAGTAACTATTCAAATCTAACTCTAATTTAAATGCAACAATGTATATGGAATTCTTCATTAATTGATCTCTCAATGTCTATGTTTTATGCAACTATATGATTACTTTTAAGTTTTATTCACATATAGATGTAATAATCCAGTTGCATCTTAGTCTTCTTACATTCAAATATTCTTCAATAAATTTTAAAGAATAATATTTATAAATTGATTATATATATTGATTATATATTGGTCATATATAAATATAAAAAAAAAAACGTATTCCTTATATGAAGTATTTTCATTAATCAAATAAAACATACATATTCAAATAATGATAAATTTTGAAAAAACTGAAACAAATTCAACTGAATAATTATTATATCTATAAAGTAAATAAAATATTACAGTAGTTACAATATATATGTTAAAAATTACAGAATGGGTCTATTAGTACCTACAAATAGCGGAAAGCTAGCTATGTAGGAACGTATACTATTAAGTAATAGTTTTTAAATACTGATACAATAATGCACATTGTTATCCTAATTCAATATCGTATCAGTATTTAAATTTTTTTTCTCCGTAAATCTTATTTCGTATCAAGATACACAGTAATGTAAAATAATTCTTTTAACTCTGCTCTGATGATATGTATTTGCTATAAAATGCTACTTTTTAATAATCAGTCATGAAATGAGTCTACTAAGACTACTATCTTCTGCCCAAATATTAAATCATAACTTAATATCGTCAAATATAAAAAAAAATCAAACTTATATATAACATATAAAATTTGGTTACTTTTAGAGATAAGGTTATTTTATTCCTAAATAACTCGCTGGTGTGCTAAAGATTCTAAATAAAAATATTTTAAAAAGTAATCACAAATTATGTGGAATTATAATTCAACTTAATCTGTCAATGAATATCATGTCAGCACTGCTATTCACCGTTAGTTACTGTTTTTGAATGCTACTGTGTATCTATTATCGATTGGTATATATATCATTACAATCACAATATGCATGACATCCTATGCGAAAGTTTCTGGTCAAAGTAGAGCAGAAAACTTGTACTATGGTAAGACACGGATCGACTGTATGTAATAATAGGGAAAAGAATAATTCTAGCTGCATAATCCAGAAGGATCAACAAAGGATCCTCTAGCAATGAGTTCAGCCGTCGCGGCATCTCCGCCGCTCTGTTTACCACCCGATGGTTGCCCATGCGTACGTATATGGAACATGAACTCAGCCTTATCAGTGAAGTCGGCACGACACATTAGACAAAAATTCCTCTCGGAGGCATAGGATTGCGGTGGTGGTGCAGATCCCGGGAAGTATGGGGCGGCATGTTGCGGCGGTACGGTTGCGTCTAAGTGAGATCTACAATTGATCAAAGTTAAGTAAGTAAGTCGTAAACATCAAATTAAGATTTAAAAATTCTTTGAAAATAAACTATAAATATTAACCGAGCATGTTGCGTCCATTCTTCTCTAGTACTAAATGATCGTCCGCATAGTTCACAAGCCCAACTCACTGGTTCTTCTTTCAATTTATGAATGCTATCTTGGCGAGATGGCTGTTGCTGTTGTGCTTGTTGCTGCTGTTGTTGTTGCTGTTGATGTTGTTGATCAGATCTTGGTGTAGTAGGTGCCGACAAAGGTGAAACGCCAGGTCTATGTCTGAGTTTGTTCATATGAATGACTAATTTGTCTCGACGTGCGAAAGCTTTGCCTGTAATATCGGAAATTTTATTCATTCAATTCTTTTTATGCGCTATAATATAATTTATGATTTAAAATTTTTTCTATAAGATATTTCTAATATAATTTTTATACTTACCGCATACTTCACAAGAATACGGCTTTTCCCCGGTATGTATACGCATGTGTATGACGAGTTTATCTTTGCGAGCAAGTCCCTTGCCACACACGGTGCAAGCAAATGCTTTTGTTGTTGGTTCACCTGTATTGGTTGCCTTCGAAACTGATCCCGGACGAACGCTCACGCTGTTTGTCGTCGCTGTCCGTAAAGGTTGATTTACTGTCGGTGCTCTACTTCCAAATTGCTGATCTGTCGCGCCAGGAAATGCCGGCATCATACTACCGGGACGCATTGCAGCCGAATAATCAGGCGACCTGTGAGGGAAGATCCAATGATTATTAGACTACAATATCTTCTACTTAAAAATTAATGAAAGCAAAATTAATATAATACGTGGAATTCAACATGGAAAAATGATCGAGTAATTTTAAAATACAATTAAGTAAGATTTTGATATTATAGGAAATACTTTGAGAACTATTTCTTTGTAATTTGTGATGTGCATTTCTCTTCTATCTCTAACATTTTTAAAGCCGGATCGTCAAATTCGCGGAAATGCCATATATTTTTCAAATTACAATCAAATAATAGGAAGTTCTGTTTTTGGCAGAAAATTATGTAAAGCAACTTTCTGGTGTTCATTTCTACTAATGTAATGATTAATTTTAATCTTGGTTTAATTTACTTATTTTTTTCTAATTCTTAAAATTAAATAAAACAATTTTAAAATAAATAAAAATAAAAAGTATGTATAAATTGAAATTAAAGTTAATTTAATTGATAAAAATGGAAATATAAAAACGAATCATCTTCTATTCAGTCGAAATGATTTTTACGTACCATGTTCCGATAGAACGCAACACCCTTATTCCATCATCATAGCCAAGCCCATCGTCAGGTAAAGTAAATGTAGGATTCGGTGGCTGTGGGGCCGCAGGTGGACCGGGTCCAGTTAACCTCGCCTGAGCGGCTTGCTGAGCCATGTGTTGTTGCAATGCTGCATGTGCCGCATTGTGCGTTTCCACATAACTCGTACGTTGCTGTTGTTGTCCGCCGTTTGACATCTTGTCTTTATCTGTACCCTAAATTCAAGCCGTTCGTTGATCATACGCCATAATTCATTCTTATTCAATGTAATAAAAATATCACATAGATTTCAATTCGCGGAAGGTTTAACGAGAAATAAATATAATTTGCATTAAGCTCGTCAGCTTCGTCATCTTTCAATTAATATAACATGCAAATTATAATCATATTTTTTTCTGAACAAATGAATTCGTCAGCGTCACGATATATAAAATATTATTTTATTCCATTTTTAAAATATAATTATAAATATAAGCTTATAATGAGATTGTGAATACTCGATATATCTCGATTATGCGTTATTCTCTCATGGCGTCTGACTGTTGTCTAACATGAGAACAGCGCATCAAAGATGGCTTTACAAAGATCCGGAAATCTCTGCGAAAATCAGAATTTTAAGCTCTTTAAGCGATTAAAATATGATTTCTTGTAAACGTATTAAAAATAACGCAATTAAAAAATTACCACGGAACACATGTCATTTGTTAAAAGCGTTCCAAGCTTAATTTGCGTTATTATTTTTCACTACATTATTATATTCCTTTTAAATTATCTATTATAAAATATTTATTTGATATTATTCCAGGATATACAGATATTTACATAGTCAGATTTCAAATTTTTTTTCATATATAATGATACAGAAAAGCGCAAGTACGTATTTTATCTCGCTCTTGATGCCAGCAGGGACAATATTGCTTTGTCAAGGTCTCTCAAAGAAAAGAACAATGAGGATAACTGTTAGGCATTATTAAGAAAACAACTTTAAAGGACTGCTCTAAACAATTGTCATTATAATTCATTGATCAATTTTTCTTTAACGCTTAATAATTCTACTCGCTGTTAAAAAACTATCAATACAATCGTAATTCTTGATAAAAGAACAAAAATCACTTCTATGTTTCTGCAAAAAACATATGAATGTACAAAAAAGTCTAAAAAGTCTAAAATAATATATAATTATAAATAATAAAATATGCAATAATGGCCGAAAAGCAAAAGGATGTTTCGGAAGAAGAGAGATGGGGGAGAAAGAAACCATCATGCGAGTCGATCGTTTTCATGAAAGAGACGGGCACCCGCCGTCTTTTTTGGACGCGCTTACCACGCACTAAATTGGAGACCAATCCACGTTCCAAAGAAGACCGTTGGACTCCAGAATCGAAGGCTCGGGAATGCACTTTCGATCTGAGAGAAGTGGCTTTCCAACACGATCGCACGATCTAGATTTTCGAGTCACAGCATCGATCGCGTACGGCGAAGCAACCCGGTAACGATAACGATAACGACAAGGAGGATCTGAAATTCATTTTCGATCGAATTGAGATCCTAGACTCGGATATCTCGGACACCGTATACGGACGTATTTTAGAGCGACAATAACCGGTCACGTTTCAAGATGATTCACTCGGCGTACAAACGCTAACACTGACATGCGCGTTGCACGCAAAAGAGCTTTACGCGTTTACGTGCTTTTCACGACGCGTCGGATGAATATCGCGGTTCACGAGGCGAGAGAGAGCCGCGAAGCTGGCGGCAGTCGCCGCCGTCACCGCCGCCGCCGCCGCCGATTCCCGGCGCGGGAGGATGCAAGGACAAAGAGGCGAAAAAAAGCGGCCGACGGCGCGCGGAGGGGATAAGCGCGAGACGACCGGAGAGACGTCTCCCTCGCCGTCGAACTCCGAGAGAAGAAAGAGAGGAAAGAAAGACGGAACCGCAGGTGAAGGGGAAGAGAAAG